TTTCTATGTTTCGCTCTTCTGACACTGAGTATTAAAATTCCTCGTTACAGGTCTGAACAAAAGATGTAAGTGTTTAGCAGATGAGCACACCACAGCAGTATACACGCTATAAATGTGTCTTTTTGTCACATGCGGCTGGGACATATTTCGGACGTTGGAGAGTGGTTGAATGAAGAGCTGTGTTTGTTAAGAACTCCTGATAATAATGCTTAAATTGTGCCCCACCGTGGTATAATATTGTGATTTTCGAAAGAAGAACACGTTCCACACTTGGAAATAGGAGTGCAATGAGGGGAATCGATGAATACTGGGAACACAAAAATAAAATGCACACAAAGATGCGAAAGTTATGTGATTTGAAGGCGAAGGAACTGTCGGTAAAGCACAGAATAAAAAAGCGGGGCGGGGGGGTGTGATGAACTGATGGGGATAGTAGTCGCCTAAGGCAGGATGGGGAAGAAGTGGGAATAGAGAGAAGTGTTGAGTGGATGTTTACTGTGAGGTACTGTACAGATATTTAGTCAATACACATTAAGACGTTATCACTAAACTGTTGTTGTGTAGCTTTCCTGAAAAGGAATAAGAACAAGGTTCAACATGTTTTTCTACAGGATGCAAGAGTCACATGCCTGAAATGTGGGCTGATGACTGTCTGTGAGAGAGTTAAGACGGCACCAGGTTGCATATTTGTTCACCAAAGCCCTCTTAAGACTAATGAAGTGCAACCCGCCGGGCACGTTTCCAATCCTTAGTCCCCAAGTGTTGCCAGATATCAAAATCCGAAAACCGCTTAGCCTTTTTTTAGTTATCTTCACACCAACAAGTGAACCTTTGTTGTTGGGAGTTGACATTTATTCTTTTTTTTTGTCCGGAGAACTGTTCGGTGTAATCATTTGCTAATAACCTCAGCTCATGGAAGCGCCAAATTGTTTGACGAACCCATTGCCAGAGAGTGCCCTCCAAGCAGTTCCTGCCAGTAAATCTTAAAACACAGTGTTGGCCAGTGACACATTAGAATTTTATTATCTTTTTCCTTAACGAGTATTGTAAGGGATTAGAATACTCTTAATCCCACTCATGCTTTATTATACTGACGTTTTGTCAGCTCGTTTGCTGTTTTACTGTGAGTTTCTGGAGGGTTAATAGCAGTATTCTTTCTGCAATCAGTGTACAGTAGCATGCCACATGGGCTGGAGGAGGGGGGAGGCGTTTAGCTGCCACCCAAAAGAAGAGAAATGTGACTCTTGGTAATTCCAGAGTTAGAGTTGGAGGGTGTGTGAACCACGCAGCTGAGGTCGGGACTTCTGGAGAGCCGCGTGCAGTTACTGAGGCTAAGCTAGCTGCTGGATGTAAATCCTCCAAATTGTAGAGCTGCCTGCTTGTTAAAATGTCTTGTTTTCTATCTCTGCATGTGTTAAACACAGAAGCTGTGACTTTTGGGTGTGGAAGGTTAGGAGTTCAAAGACATTTTTGACGTGCTGAGTAAAGTAATGAGTAATGTACCGCATGTTTGGGGGGTATTTTAGTGTCTGTATAATATGTACTTGGTTACAGTTTTTAGGTAACCCAAACGAGTAGCCCAAACATGGATTTCGTTGAAAGGATGTGACTTTTGTACCTTAATGCATCAATAGCCCAGTTTTCATATAAATGTAGTTAAAATTTCCCATTGCATTTTGCTTTTATCAGTACATTTCCCACCTCTGACACAAACCTTTTTGTTTCCATCCAGCTGTTTTTTTGTGCAAATTGAATTACCGAATGATTTTGAATTGCCCTAAACGTATCTCAGCTTGTACGCTGATACCAATATATCTGATTCTCAGATGTTGAGGCTTTTCATCTGCACTCAGATCCACCTACGCAGAAAACGCTTCACCTGTGTTAACACATCGATGTGAAAAAAGAAAGAAAAGTGAAGACAACTAGATGTTCATCATGATGGATTACCTAGCCTAAGAAAGTGTCAAGTCTCTGCAAGTTGATTTTGTATGCCATATTGGCATGAGCTGAAACCGGTGCCTGCTGGAAAAATGCAGGAGAATGCACTTATCAATCAAAGAGGGTTCGGAGAAAGGTCAGCAGTAATAATACAAAAAAATTTGTATATTACGAGTAAAAGCTGTTTAAACATGCTGTGTATGTGATGTGCGTATATGCCTTAAAATATGAACAAGTTTTTTTTCCAGCTCTACAGTAGCTCTGATTTTGGCACAGAGATTTGTTTTTATGTTGCAAGTTGAGTCATTAAACACACACAGAGCTGAGAAAGCTTTGGTAATCCCATGATGTTTTGGTTTGGTTACTAGGATGACCCGACTGGTGCAATCCAATCAAGGGAACTCAGAGGTCATGAATGAGAGTGGGAGGAAAACACAGATTGGAGGGGATTCAGGAGCACAGGGTGAATGAGGAGGATTACAGGAGGGAGATGAAATAAACGAGAGAGAAGCAGAAGAGAAGAGGAGACAGGAGGGAGATCTAATAACAGTGGAAAGTAAAGGGGATAAAGAAAGAGATAAGAGAGACTTACGTCATCGCTCTGCTCTCGCACATAAACACAGACGGTGTTGAATTCTGTAACAACAAACTGAAGCGGTGGAGTGTGTGTTGAGTTTTACAGCCCAGGTGTCTTTTTAACTTGTGAATGAATGTTGTTATTGTGAATGGTTGTGTAATTATCCCATATACTGTTTGAATCAGCCTCCAGAGATGCAGTCATAACACTGTGTTGTATTACAAACCCCATAGAGGGCACTTTATCACCACTGTTTGCCTCAGCACGGTTTTATATTTATCTTCTGTGTTGAATTATTGACTGAAGGTAAAGAAGTAGGTTCTCTTTCATAATGCCATCTGTCACTCTTATTGCAGGTTAAAATGATGTATTTTAGAGAGCAGAGCAGATACAACGATAAAATGATACATCTGGCATTGTATTTATGTTCCTTGACTCGATAGTCAACGGTGATAACGATTCTTTAGAAGTATGTGTTGAATGGTGAAAGACCGTCAGAAACCTCCTCCCCCCACAGCTTTTTGGTCGAGCTTCTCGCTCCAGCTCTCTTTTTCATGCATGACGCAACTATTTCTGTCACTTGTAAACAGTCAGTGCAAGTCTACAAATGCCTTCCAGGAGGGACTATCTGATCATTTGCGCCATTTTTCCCATATTGAGACAATTACTGCGTTTCCCCCACTCAATGATGGCACACTTTTGATTTCCGACGTGGTCATAACTCGAGCATTACCTAATCCATAGTTGGATTTATTCAAATCCACTGGCTCCTACTGAAAATGTAAATCGTTAAAATGTGTCCCAGATTCAGTATATTTTTAAAACCTGCTAAAACAGCTGGGCACTATCGCTTTTAGCAAATGTTTCTCAAACCTGAGTAAATAGTGCATTTGCTATGGACTATTTTTAATCACTATGGTCTATTTTATTCATTAATACTCATTTGGAGTCCATATTTTTGGCAGCAGGACAGTGTATGTACAAAGAAAAAGATTGGTGGCAGGATCTAATTCTTGGTTTTGGTTTTTTTCTTGGTATTTGTTGACAGGAACAAAGATTTATTACCAGACATATCCTTTAAATAGTGACATTTCAGCGCAGGACTTCTGCTGAATTGGTCTAACAGCTGTAGAACAAGCCAGCCAGTGTGTAAATAAATCAGTTACTGTGGTTCATGACTAATGTGATTACTCACCTTCTTCCATGGCATATGATACATTTTCATAGTTGTAACATCAACTCTTCCTCCTCAAGCATTGAACTGCTTACACGATAAGATACAGTTCTTGTGAAATATTAAGCGCTGGATGGATGTGGTGTAGTGCTTCCCATCCGCTGTTCAGATGTCAGGGAAAAAAACAAACATTTGACTATTTATTGGAGTTGAGAGTGCTAATTCATTGTTGACATCAGCTCTGTGTTTTGCTGCTTTACAGTCTGTTATCCAGTGTCAAATGTCAACTGTCTCCCCTTTCCCCCTGCAGGGTTGGGAACAGAGTGTAAGATAGCATTGTTTTCTTTCGAAAGATTTTAGAAATGATAATCGTCCGTTTTAGAGAGTTTATTTTTTATTTTAGCTGCATTTCTTTCTGATTTTCTAGATGAGTGGTTCCGAAAGTGTGGATCATGTTCCAGTTTTTTTTTTCTCTTTTTCTTGTGAAATACAGGACACTTCCTCTGATGACCCTCAAATGAAACAAGTTAAGAACAAAACAGAGTAGGTTGTTGCTTCATTTTATGGCGTCAAAGCCAAAAATGTCGGAAATCACTGTTGTAGAGGAGGAACTTAAGAGTCAGGAAACAGGTCACAGACACATGCTGTCATCGTGAAGAAGTTACTCTTCTAAAGCCAGAAATAACATTATGAGACTTGCTACAGCTCAGCTTGTCGGCTGAATGGCGGCATCAGATTCCCGTGCAGATAATGGGGCGTTATTGGAGCAAACAATGGCCAATTTGGACTCACACACGTGTAACTATAGAGTTCTGTGGGTCCCCAGGGCGAATAGAAACACAATAAAGAACAGGGTACTGACTAACATGGATCAATGGCTTCATAAAGGAGAATATATTGCTCCTGAGGGACAGAAACACCACCTGTGTAGTGTGCTAGTGTGTGTGTGTCTCAGTGGGTGGTTGGACCACATTCTTGTGAAAGGGAGTGCTATCTGTCACACATGTTCGATGAACAGATTGAGCTGCAGCAGGATTCACAAAATTTCCCACGCAGATTCTTTCATTCACAGATCTGACACACGTCTTTCTGAATGTTGAAATCGTTATTTGTGTGTCTAAACCAGGTGTGAACTTACATAATACTTTTTTCCTTTAAACTTTGCGTGCTTTCAGTGTTCTTAAATAAGTAATCACTTATAGCAGTGTGCCTGAATAAACACGTTGTCATTGCTTACAACAGCGTTCCTGAATAATAACTGCTCACTCTCTCCTTTCTGCCCTTTCTCCTCCCTTTTTCTTTGTGCAGGAGAAGCAAAAAACATCCCTCCGTACCCAGGGCCAAACAGGATGAGGGACTGTTACTGCACTGTCAACCTGGACCAAGAAGAAGTCTTCAGGACCAAGATCATCGAGAAGTCACTTTGGTATGTTGAAGGCAATCAAGAAAGTCAAATCATAACCACTTACTCTGGCTGAGGTGGAATAAACATGTAAAAAGGTTTGAAATGTAATTCTCAAACTTAGAGCTGGTGTTATAGTTCCCAGGCTCCGTCACTCAAGATGCTGATCATCTTCCCACTTCCAGTCTTGCACTATCTTTTTTTCTCTGTTAATTTCCTGTCAAGTCGTCACTGACTCATATCTAATAAAAGCTAAAATGTCCAAAGATATAATGATATAAAGCACTTAAGTACCAAAACAACTCTATGGTCAGCTATCAGATTTCTCTAATCTTAAATTAATGAACATGTATCTCATGAACATTTGCTGTCTGCACTGCATGTCTCATTGGTTGACAGATGAACCAGCTCATCTGTTTTTACATTGAACTTAATCCCAACAAGCACTGAGCAGTTCAAGTACACTCATACAGTACAAATATCTATTCTGGAAATGCCAAATTTTCTCTTTACTAGCTTCGTCTCTCAGGACATTATTTTTGATGTATGCACATTTCTTAAATGTTTTGGCCACAGAATAACTCTGTATCAAGGTGCATTACTTCAAACACAGCAGACTTCTGTATAAATAGGGGAAAATGTATCAAAGCAAAAGAAAATGTCTAGATGAAGAGCATAGTGTAAATGTAACAACATTGTAACATTTAAGATTTAACTAAAACATTACAAATATGCCACATTTTTTCACTCATGTTTTGCAGATACTGTATATTGTATCACAGCTTTACTTCAAGATTATGGACGACTGAATAGATTGCAATTCCTTTCCACTTTGATTTTACGCAGTGTTGAGAGATTACGCATTTTCCGTCTGGCTAAGCTGATGAGGAAACAAGTGAGATGTCAACTGAGTAACAGAGGAAGTCACTAATTGTTAGCAGCAGCCCTGAAGGCTCAGCTCACGAGATTCTCATTGCCATAATTTCTATGGTCCTCATTTAGGTGAAGGCAGCATGTGGCAGTTGATCTTTCAGCCAATGCTCACAAACAAGCCGACTGTTTTAGGCTGTAGAGTCCACGTGATTAATGGCAAGATGTAAATACAGGCGTCCCATGTTTTTATATCTGCCAAAGTAAAAAAATCCATCATCACCGGGAGTGAGTGATGAATTTTGTTAGTTTTATTGTTACACGAGATTCTGTGCATATCTAGTATGAGGAAATTACTCAATATTACTTTATAGGAAATTTGGAGAAAAAAAACACAAAGTATTGATTAAAATATGTTTGTCAAGAAATGACCCTATAGCCTGTTGATTGATTCCATTACTGCCTGCTGCTAACCACAGTGATGCCCACTGTGCATTAAGTTATGCAGGGAATGTAGGACAACCTCAGTCTTAAACAGCGTGCCTCATAAAACACTGAAAAGCCCTTTAAGGAGAAGTTGTATGAAAGCAAAAGAAAAGAAAAGAAAGAAGAAAGAAAAATAATATCGGAGACTTAATCTTGTAATTATGACCTCTGTTATAATTATGAAAAAAGATCTCTTAATTACGAGAAATGTGTCTTTTGATCATGAGATAGTTAAAGAAATAGTTCTCACAAATCTGTGTGATTTTTGCTTATATAATTCAATTGACTTGACATTCAAGATCTGTATACTGCTGTATACTTTGCACTGTTGTTCGTACAGAACGTCTTAGAGAGAACTAACTTCAAAGCGTATTTTAGACATTCATTTTTTGACACAATCCTCCACTAAATCTCTACAGGTGATATTGTTTTCCTGACTTTAACCCCCTCTTTTCCCCCTCTACAGCATGCCTCCTTTGTGTTTCTTTACCAGACGAGTCACAGTTTTTCTTTGTGTCTCCTCTCATGTTCAGTCCGTTCTATGGGGAGGACTTCTATTGCGAGATCCCACGTAGCTTCAGACATCTCTCCTTCTACATCTTCGACAGGGACGTCTTCAGGAGGGACTCCAGTATCGGTGAGTAAACAGCAGCTCTATCTGTTGTAAACTACCCATATACCCATAACCGAACTTGGAAAATTATTTGGGACTGGATTTATTGTGTGTATTTAAAAGAGAAAAAAGCCTCATGTTAGAAGCTTTACCATGATTTTACAGGAGCAAAAGCAACGCCCCAGGCAGCTTTTTTACTTTCATGAACAAGCAGTAGCATTCTGCTGTGTTATAAAGGATAACTTTATTTTTTTGTGTGTGTAATTTATGTGACTTGTAATGTCTGGGTGCACGTAAGAGTCTTTTTTCAAATGTATATGTAATGAGTACATTTCCTTGAATAAAAATCGAGTCTAAAATTGGCAACATTTTCAATGAAGTCTGGTACCATCTCATCTTGGTAACAGTTTTAGCACATAAAAAGTGTGTTTGCATGTCTGTTTGCATGTGGGCGGATTATGTATCAGGGTGTGTCAATGTGTGTGACCACCAGCCACAAACTGAAAAACCTTTCACAGGGTGTGATTTGTATCTTCAACACTATCACTGCTGCTGTTTGTTTGGGTGTGTGTGTGTGTGTGTGTGTGGTTGGGGGGGGGGGAAGGTGTTGTAAACAAAAATCTAACTTGCTAGTTTCAGGTTAGAAGTAAGAGGGTCATTTCTAGGCCACCGACTGCGTACTTTCTTGAGTATTTCTGCACCTGGTGCCTGCATGCATTTGCTAGGAGATTGGCACGTGGATTGACAGTGTGTGAGCTGGCGTGTGAGTGTGTGTGGTTGTTTGACGTTTG